GAAGGAGAAAAATCACTTATTTACAAAATTTTAGAACAAAAACTAAGAAAAAAACACTTTTTTTTTCAAAATTTTCAGTGGTTTTTGGTTTGTTTAAGAAAAAAATAAAAAACCCCGAGGTGATTAAATACCACCAAAATAAAGCTCTATCTGTCACAAAAAAATGCTAAAAATTTCATATGGGTACAGTGTTGCATGACCGCGCAATTGTCATTCAAAGTGTGACAGCGCTGAAAGCTGGAAATTGGCCTGGGCAGGAAGGGGGTTAAATGGTGTTGCCTCTGAAGGGGGGGTAGTCTTATACGGCGAGTATAGCCCAAAACCTATGTTTTAACTGGAAAATTAGGGGGTCGTCTTATACAGCCAGTTGCCTTATACACCGGAAAATACGGTAGTTTGAATTTTTTGAAGGTGTTGTCCTCTTAAACCAATGGTAATAATAATGTATTTATTATCACTTTTTTTTAAATATATACATGAAAATCCCATGAAAAAGTAATTTAAAATTTTTTGAAGGTGTCCTCTTAAAAAACAGTAATAATAATGTATTATTATTGCTATTTTTTTTTAAATATATCCATGAAAATTCACATGAAAAAATTATTTTAAAAGTTTTTGAAGTTGTCCTCTTGAAAAAATGGTAGTAATAATAATAATGTACTATTATTGCTACTTCTTTAATATATACATGAAAATTATTTTTAACTTTTTGAAGGTGTTGTCCTCCTTAACAAATGGTAATAATAATGTATTATTATCATCACTTTTTTAAATATATACATGAAAAGTCATATAAAAAAGTAATATGAAACTTTTTGAAGGTGTTGACCTCTTAAAAAACAGTAATAATAATGTATTATTACTGCTATTTTTTTTTAAATACATGCATGAAAATTTACATGAAAAATATTTTTTTTTTACTTTTTGAAGGTGTTTTCCTCTTAACTTCTTGCCGACCGCGCATAGCCGAATGACGGCTTCACCGCGGCCGGCCAGTTCTGAGTGGACGTCATATGACGTCCTCCCAGAACGCGCTCTCCTGCGCGCCCCAGGGGGCGCGCACCCGGCGATCTCCGTGATCGCTGTGTCCTACGGACACAGCTGATCACGTGATGTGGTGAAAGGCCGATCCCACCGGCCTTTTACCACGTGATCAGCGGTGTCCAATGACACGCTGATCACAGGGAAATGCAAGTGCCGGTTCTCGGCTGCACTTTCCTCACGCTGTCAGATCGTGAGGAAAGTACTGCCGAGAACCGGCAGTTGTCAGAGCGGGGATCGGCACCGATCATCAGGGCACTGATGATCAGTGCCCTGATGATCGGTGCCCAGCAGTGACACCCGCATGTTCCGCCCAGCAGTGCGCCCACTAGCCCCGCCCACCCGTTCCCAGCAGTGCCCCCACCTGTGCCCAGCAGTGCCCCCACCTGTGCCCAGCAGTGCCCCCACCTGTGCCACTCTGCAGTGCCACCTACCTGTGCCCAGAAGTGCCACCTACATGTGCCCAGCAGTGCCACCCACCTGTGCCCACCAGTGCCACCCACCTGTGCCCACCCACCAGTGCTGCCCACCAGTGCCACCCACCAGTGCAGCCCAGCAGTGCTGCCAGTCAGTGCCACCAGTCAGTGCCCAGGGGTTGTGCCAGTCAGTGCCGCCAGTCAGTGCCCAGAAGTGATGCCAGTCAGTGCCGTCTATCAGTACCCATCATCAGTGTCACCTATCAGTGCCGCCTATCAGTGCTGTCTATCAGTGCCGCCAGTGCGCCTATCCGTGCCACCTCATTAGTACTGCCTATCAGTGCCCTTTAGTGCTGCCTATCAGTGCCCATCAGTGCCGCCTATCAGTGCCCATCAGTGCCGCCTCATCAACGCAAATCAGTGAAGGAGAAAAAATACCTGTTTGAAAAATTTTATAAAAGAAACAAATAAACTTTTTTTTTTTTCAAATTTTTTGCACATTTTTAATTTATAGCGCAAAAAGTAAAGCGCCCAGTGGCGATTAAATACCACCAAAAGAAAGCTCTATTTGTGAGAAAAAAATGATCAAAATTTCATATGGGTACAATGTTGCATGACCGCGCAATTGTCAATCAAAGTGTGGCAGCGCTGAAAGCTGAAAATTGGCCTGGTAAGGAAGGGGGTATAAGTGCCTGGTAGGCAAGTGGTTAAACAAATGGTAAAAATAATGTATTATTATCACTTTTTTAAATATATACATGAAAAGTCACATTAAAAAGTAATTTGAAACTTTTTGAAGGTGTTGTCCTTTTTAAAAAAATAGTAATTTATTTATTTATTATTATAATTTTTTTTTCTATTATATACAGGCAAATTCACATGAAAAAGTAATCTGAAAATTTTTGAAGGCATTGCCCTCTTAAAACAAATAGTAATTATTATTACTATGATCTATATCTATATATATCTATATATCTATATATATATATCTATATATAGATATATATATATACAGTGGGGATCGAAAATTTGGGCACCCCAGCTAAAAATTTGTATTAATGTGCATAAAGAAGCCAAGGAAAGATGGAAAAATCTCCAAAAGGCATCAAATTACAGATTAGACATTCTTATAATATGTCAACAAAAGTTAGATTTTATTTCCATCATTTACACTTTCAAAATAACAGAAAACAAAAAAATGGCGTCTGCAAAAGTCTGGGCACCCTGCAGAATTTATAGCATGCACTGCCCCCTTTGCCAAGCTGAGACCTGCCAGTGTCATGGATTGTTCTCAATCATTGTCTGGGAAGACCAGGTGATGTCAATCTCAAAGGTTTTAAATGCCCAGACTCATCTGACCTTGCCCCAACAATCAGCACCATGGGTTCTTCTAAGCAGTTGTCTAGAAAACTGAAACTGAAAATAGTTGACGCTCACAAAGCTGGAGAAGGCTATAAGAAGATAGCAAAGCGTTTTCAGATGTCAATATCCTCTGTTTGGAATGTAATTAAGAAATGGCAGTCATCAGGAACAGTTGAAGTTAAAGCAAGATCTGGAAGACCAAGAAAAATATCAGACAGAACAGCTCGCAGGATTGTGAGAAAAACAATTCAAAACCCACGTTTGACTGCACGATCCCTCCAGAAAGATCTGGCAGACACTGGAGCTGTGGTACACTATTCCACTATAAAGAGATACTTGTACAAATATGGTCTTCATGGAAGAGTCATCAGAAGAAAACCTCTTCTACGTCCTCACCACAAAAATCATCGTTTGCAAATGAACATATAGACAAGCCTGATGCATTTTGGAAACAAGTTCTCTGGACCGATGAGGTTAAAATTGAACTTTTTGGCCGGAATGAGCAAAGGTACGTTTGGAGAAGAAGGGGCACAGAATGTAATGAAAAGAACCTCTGTCCAACTGTTAAGCATGGGGTTGGATCAATCATGCTTTGGGGTTGTGTTACAGCCATTGGCACAGGGAACATCTCACGAGTAGAAGGAAAAATGGATTCAATAACATTTCAGCAAATTTTGGATGGTAACTTGATGCCATCTGTGAAAAAGCTGAAGTTAAAGAGAGGATGGCTTCTACAAATGGATAATGATCCTAAACACACCTCGAAATCCAAGGGGGATTAAATCAAGAGGCGTAAACTGAAGGTTTTGCCATGGCCTTCACAATCTCCTGACCTCAACATAATTGAAAATCTATGGATAGACCTTAAAAGAGCAGTGCGTGACAGACAGCCCAGAAATCTCAAAGAACTGGAAGACTTTTGTAAGGAAGAATGGGCAAAGATACCTCAAACAAGAATTGAAAGACCTTGGCTGGCTACAAAAAGCGTTTACAAGCTGTGATACTTGCCAAAGGGGGCAGTACAAGATATTAACTCTGCAGGGTGCCCAAACTTTTGCAGACGCCATTTTTTTGTTTTCTGTTATTTTGAAAGTGTAAATGATGGAAATAAAATCTAACTTTTGTTGACATATTATAAGAATGTCTAATCTGTAATTTGATGCCTTTTGGAGATTTTTCCATCTTTCCTTGGCTTCTTTATGCACATTAATACAGATTTTTAGCTGGGGTGCCCAAACTTTCGATCCCCACTGTATATATATATATATATATATATGTACGCATGAAAATGCACATAAAAAATAATTTTTAAACTTTTTGAATATGTTGTTCTCTTAAAATAATGGTAATAATAATGTATTATTATCAATTTTTTTAATACATACATGAAAATTCCCATGAAAAATTATTTTTTAACTTTTTGAAGGTGTTATCCTCTTAAAAAACTGGTAATACTACTACTACTACTAATAATAATAATGTATTATTATTAGTATTTTAAATATATACATGAAAAAGTAATTTTAAACTTTTTGGAGGCATTGCCCTCTTAAAAAAATTATTACTATTATTTTTTATATATATATATATACATGAACATTCACATGAAAAATTATTTTTAAATGTTTTAAAGGGGTTGTCCTCCTAAAAAAGTAGTAAAAATAATGTATTATTATTACTATTTTTTATATATATTTAATATATACAAGAAAATTCACATGAAAGTGTAATTTGAAAACTTTCTGAAGGTGTTTCACCAGTGGCAGCCATCCACATAAATGGCAGGTAGTATAGGGCATACCATCCCCAGATTTAGGAGGTGCTCACAATGCCTGTACCCGATCCTGCAGTGCCTTACGTTGTCCTGCCCGACATGCTTTTTTAACTTGCCGAAAATTTCAAACATTCTCGCCAAGTTTGACCCTTGTGTACTACATCTCCTTTGTCCTCTGTTGTTGTATTAAAAAAAAAAAAAAAAAAAGTTTCCTTAGGATTGCTTTTAATTTGTTTTATATTTTGATATGTATAGTTTTGTTGTGGAATGCAGTTGAAAAGTTTGCATACATTTAGACTTTATAAACAAATTAATTACCCGGGTCCTGTGAAACATTGACTTTGGGATATTTCCAACAGCTTGTGGTTGTACATATTGACTTGACATAAGTAATGTTTTTTGCAAAA